GCAGAGAGTGGTAAAGACTGTTGAGAAGATCACCAGGACTCCACTGCCCTCTCTGCAGAGCATTTACCACCGCAGGGTGCGTAGGAAAGCTGCCTCTATCCTCAAAGATCCCACCCACTCCCAGCACGGACTGCTCAATTCTCTGCCCTTTGGCCGGAGGCTCAGGAGTGTGAAATGTAGGACCTCTAGACTGAAAAACTCTCTTTCTGTCTGTCATCAGACTCCTGAACAGTTGACATGAGCTATTACCAGAAAATATGCCATGTAATGATGACCTGTACTGTTACATTCTCAGTTTGCACATGCATAATTGCACATTGATACTACTGCACATGCAGCATACACTGTCTTATCATATTTTTATATATTGTTATTATCTCTGCATTTGCTGTTTAAAGTGCTTTAGATCTTGTGTTACTTACTCATCTACTTTATATTTCATTTGTATTGTGTGGCATTCATGGCAAAGTAAGATTTACATTGTCCTAACTGTGCACATGATCTGTATAATATTTAGAGGTGTTCCTAATATTGTAATCTTCTCATATAAATGTAGCTGGGGAGAACAAAATATTGAGACCCCACTTAAATAAACTGACTTCAAATATTAACCTGTAATAGAATGTATTCATTTATGACAATTTCATCTATAATTGAAATATTTATATTTCTGAGCAATATTTTTCTTTATTTCAAGTTTATATGTATTTTGGGTTTTATTTTGAAAACCGGGGTGTTATTTTGACGAAACAGGAAACACGAAAATACTTCAGGTAGCTTAACTTCGCTTACGCATCCACACAATAAATAAAGAACTGGAGAACATATTTTGTGGATGCTGTAAAGCATCCACACAAATAAAGAACAGGAGAACATATTGTGGACGCTTTACAGTATCCACACAATAAAGAACAGAAGAGCATAGTGTGGATGCTTTACAGCATCTACACAATAATCTCTGCTGCTAAAGCAGTTTTCTATTATCTATCATATGTGGTGCCTGTACTTGATGAGAAGGTGCCATGCACAGAAGTTGTGTGACAGGTGGAAAGGGGAGGGGAGGGGGCGCGGACGCAGGAGAGTTCACCGCTCCCAAATGGAGCGGACGAAGGGGGAGAGGGGGGAATCCACTTAGTAGGCTAAACTAAGTCATTGACACTTTGACTTTCTTCCAAATAATGCACATTTCATTCATAATATTATAAACACAGACCTATAATTTGCATGTTTTTGTTTTTTCCAAATTGTGTGAAATGGCTAATAAAAATAGGTAATACAAGGTGAATTGGTTTAGTCTTGACTTCTGGTCGTGAGTGACAGTGTTGGGGGATAGGAAATC